AGCTCGGCGCGCGCCGAGCGCGTCCCGCGCCCCCCATTGGCCGCCCGCCCCGTCCTTCAACCGGCGCACCCCCCCCGGAGCCGTGGAGGGGGTCGCGCCCTCTGATTGGCCGCCGCGCGCGTCCGTCGCGCCCACCGCTCCGCCCCCTTAAAGCTGAGTGGCTGGCGGCGCTGACGGCGCGCCCCCATTGGCCGCAGCTGAGCACGGGGCGTGCGCGGGGGGCGGAGCTCCCGGCGGCCCCTTTGTGTGGGCACCAGTCGCCGGCCGCGCTCCCGAGAAGCCGCCGCCGCCATTTTGTGCGCGCCCTGTGCTCGCCCCCACCCCCGCCCGCCTTTCCGCGGGAGCGGCGGCACCGGGGAGGCCCCGATTGCGCTGCCGGGCCGCTGAGGCGGGAGCGGAGGCGCCGCGCCGCGCCCAGGGACCCACCGCCGGCGGCCGCCGCAGCCCTGAGGTCGCGCTGCTCGCGGCGGGGGGAAGAGGCGGCAAGACGGAGCAAGGGGGGAAAAAACCTCCGGAGCTGCTGCCCCCGAACAGGAGGAGGAGTCTCGGGGCCAGGCCCAGGCGCGGCGGCGGCGGCGGCAGCGGCGGCGGCAGCATGGAGAACTCGCAGCTGTGCAAGCTGTTCATCGGCGGGCTGAACGTGCAGACCACGGAGGCCGGGCTGCGGGAGCACTTCGCGGCCTACGGCACCCTCACCGACTGCGTGGTCGTGCTCAACCCGCAGACCAAGCGCTCCCGCTGCTTCGGCTTCGTCACCTACTCGGCGGTGGAGGAGGCGGACGCCGCCATGGCCGCGTCCCCCCACGCGGTGGACGGGAACGCGGTGGAGCTGAAGCGGGCCGTGTCCCGGGAGGACTCGGCCAAGCCCGGCGCGCACGCCAAGGTGAAGAAGCTCTTCGTGGGCGGCCTGAAGGGGGACGTGGGTGAAGGGGACCTGGTGCAGCACTTCAGCCAGTTCGGCCCCGTGGAGAAGGCCGAGATCATCGCCGACAAGCAGAGCGGGAAAAAGCGCGGCTTCGGCTTCGTCTACTTCCAGAACCACGACGCCGCCGACAAGGCGGCCGTGGTCAAGTTCCACCCGATCCAGGGCCACCGCGTGGAGGTCAAGAAGGCCGTGCCCAAGGAGGACATCCAGGCGGGCGGGGGCGGCGGCGGCTCCTCCAGGCCCTCGCGGGGAGGCAGAGGAGGAGGAGGAGGAAGGGGCCGGGGCGGCGGCGGCTCCGGCAACCGGGATCACAACGGGCTCTCCAAAGGGGGCGGCGGCTACAACAGCTACGGCGGCTACGGCGGGGGCGGAGGCGGCGGGTACGGCTCCTACGGCGGCGGGTCCTACGGAGGCGGCGGCGGAGGGGGCGGCGGCGACTACGGCAACGGGTACGGCGGGTTCGGCAGCTACAGCCAGCACCAGTCCTCCTACGGCCCCATGAAGAGCGGCGGAGGAGGAGGAGGAGGGGGCGGCAACTGGGGGGGCCGCAGTAACAGTGGACCGTACAGAGGAGGTTACGGTGGGGGAGGCTACGGGGGCGGCTCGTTCTGAGCTTGGAGTGCCCATACCCATTGAGGAGGGAGGCGTGGAGAGCCCTCCCTTCGATACGGGGCAGCTTCTCAATGGTTTCTCCCCTCACCCGCCGAACGGCAGCTCCTTTTAAATGCCTCCCTGCTGTGGGAGCGGCTCCTAAATGCCCCCTGAGGGTCGCCTCTGCTGCCTGTGCCACTTCGTTCTCTCTGAAGATGGACTGGGCCCCACATACACATACTTTGTGTTACAGTCATTGATGGACTCTATTTTTTTATTATTACTTGGACCTTGGTCGTTTTTATACTAGCAACGAAAAATGTCTTGTTTTAATTTGTTTTTTGGGGGGGTGCGGGGTGGGAAATGTCTTGCTGATCTGGAGTAAAAACTGGGGAGGGAGAGGGGGGGAATTTCCTTTGTTGTAAGGACTCGATACCTGGCTACTACGTTTTTTTCTACAAAAGCTACTCGGATCCCATGACTGACTTTAACATTTCTGTAAAGGAGGAAAAAAAATGGTTTTTACGTTTTTTATTTTTTAAATAAATCATTGTGTTCATTGACCTTTACACGTCTAATTTTTTTTCCTAGGATCAATTCCGTACGGTTTTCAGGCTTTTCTAGGTTTGAAGCAAGTGTTCTTCTGCTTTAAAAATCTCTGTGTACTTAGAGTAAATATTTTGTTGCCGGTAAAGGTCCTAACTGAACTTTTTTGCTAGTGGCTTTCAAACACTTGACAGAGAAATTTTTGAAGTACTAATCCGTGGATGTGGTCTGTTTTTTAAATTCTCGTTCTCACTTAGTTCGTGTGCATCCACCATCTTGTACTAGGCAGTTTGACGTGCTGACATGGTTGGTCAATTTTTTTTCTATAGGATTTTTCCATCAACGTATGTACTGTGTAGTTTTGAAGAAATAGTTTGTGTTAAGCATGTGCTTCATTCATATAAAATGTTCAGAATTTCCGATTGCTTAGTTTTCAAGTCCTCTTATGGGTTTGTCTGTGTGTGATTCCTTCCAGGAAAGGGTCGACATTTGTCCCTTCTATTTAACACGTACTTGTTTTCATAGTACCGGGTTAACAGACTTTTTCACTCGGAACTATTGTCCTTCCTTAAACTTCCCGGCGAATTCTCGCAGCTCCATCTGCTGTCGGGATGGCAGCTCCGTGCTGTGGGCTTCCTTAAAACGGGAGCAAAACCGGTTTGCTAACAATTGTACCAGACTTTTGAACGTTATTTTATGCCACCCGATTGGTGTAGAGTGCAATGACATCTGCACTGTGAATGAAGATGGGCTCTGTGAGTACTGACTGGGGGGAAAAAAAAAAAAGGAATGGATTTGCAATACCTGCCTCAGCACGTAATTTTTTTAATAATAATTGCAGTTGCCCATATTTCAGAAAGTGGTAATCTAAACTCCATGGGCAAAGTGCTCTGAGAACTGAGCCAGCAAGTGTACCAGCAATATAGGTGCCAGTTGTAAAGCAAAAATATCTGTGTAGTCTGCTTGATTAACAAATGTATATTTGTAGCCCTTTCACGCAATAGAATTAAAGTTTGTTGTTTATTAAAAAGCATAATGTTTTAGGGGAAAACTGCCTTCCTGCATAGAAATATAGAATAGCAACGTTTATGGGTTTATGGATATCAAATAAAAGATTTGAATTCCTTATATGCTTGAGTGAGAGTATATATGACATGGGGCATGGATTTCAAAAGTACAAAGTTGTTTTGACTTCAGGTTTCTGAGCACTTAGTCATTTATGCTGATGCTTCATGGGACTGCATCGTAAAACCTGCTCTTTGCTTTGCTCCAGATATGCAAGATATTAGGCATATAATTCCCACTGATCCCAGTGGGAAGTTAAGTGTTTAGGGCTTTGTGCTTCTGGGCTGAAGGATTTCGCATGAAATTTCAAGGTACTGTTGCTATTTGATGTCAATCTAACCTGGTGCTGATTTTAATTGAAATGAGTCTTTCTGTTGCTATTAGAAGTGAAACTGCATCAACTTAATCACTTGTGCTTAAATAAACAGGACAACCTTTTGGTATCATCAGGATTTAAACCAAGAGCTGAGTTTCCTCTTGATTGTAGTAGTTTATGTCTCTTAGAGCGAGACTGATTCCTTTGGCTTAGCTTAGCTTTTATAAATAGTTTCCAAATAACTTGCTGTTTGCAACTATATTGTGATTTTTGTCTCAAAAGCTTGTTAGCCTCTATTGTGAACCAGCATCATTGATATGTTGTTGTAAATCAAAGTAGTTTCAGAGAACTATTTGTAAAACACTGCAAGTGCCAGCCTCTTGTCAGCACACAGCTTCAGGTGGTTTTATTTCAGCTTGGAGTTCTTACTGTACCTTTGCACTTTACAGCCATGTTGGACAGTCATCCTTGAACATCACTTGAAGCACAGCTCTCCTGTTTGTAGCTGAAATGAGCTACTGAGTTCTAGGTCATGTCTCAGTTTTGGGTGTATGATTTAGACCCTTGCATTGATGAGTTGCCTTAACCTTATCAAGGAGCAGCCTGGTTTGGAGAGAAATGGTTAAATTCACTGTTGTGATGTGGCTTGTCATTTGACTCGGGAAGGTAAAGGTCTGTGCACCAACTACAGCTTTATGGTCTTTTCATATGTTACCTGCTGTGGCAGAATATGTTGATGCTAGAAACAAGTAGGTTTTTAAAAAAAAGTGACTTTGTGTGTGAAATCTGACAGTTTGGGAACCCTTGTACTGAAATGTGCTGTTTGGTTATCTCTGTGCAATAGTCCTTGTAGGACTCATGTCTGCTAGAGTAGAGAGCTGATCCCAGAAATTGCACCTGTACTGGGGAGTACACTGCCTTGTCTCTCCCTGAAAATACTGTCCCCTGTTTAACAATGTTCTGTGGTGTCTTGAGTAGGTGGCATTTGCTCTGCCCTGACCTCTGGTCTCTCTGGAGCAGGGAATTCTTCACACTGCAGGTGATGGTGGAGAGGCTCACGTCAGCACTTGGGGCAGCAGTGCTGGGATGTACCATGGGGTATAGAAAGATGTAAATCTGTATTGGGTAACATTAAAGATGCAGTGACTTACCTTTGAATATAGAGCTGTTTCTAGTACAGTTCCTAGTAATCAGATTTGTTGATAAAGCCTTGCTTATTTATTTAAAGGTATTTAATAATTTTCTGCCCCCTGGGTGGATTTGTCTTCACAGAGGTGTGTGGGAAGAACTGAGATGACATGAGGTGTTGTAGCTGGCATGTAAAAGTTTGTGATTTCACAGTTGCTTTAGGATGGTCATGGAGATAGAAATAAAGTAACTTTAGTTTGCTGTCCCTTAGTTTGTAGTTGAGTTCTGAAGTTCCTATGTCTGAAAATATCTCAGTAATTTAATGGCCTTCTGTTCAGAACCGAATACTGGATTGTGCTGGTGTCACCTGTGAGAAATAGAATAGTGAGAGCAACTGGTTTACTTTTAGCATTTAATAAAGTAAAAGTGTAGTAGTTTTCTTAAAACACAGAAGTTCTTTTTATTTTTGTAATCTGCATGACCAAAAAGAAATTCCCCAAACCAAACTTTTCAGACTGTGTTGTGATGTACATGTAGTTTTTTAGTAGCAATGGGTGTTCATGTCTGCTCCAAAGTATAATTTGTTCTTGATTCTGCTTCTTGTATGACTTGTATGTTTTATTTGGCTAATAAAATTAGCCTAACTCACGCTTTTATAATACTGGCTTCTACTGCATTAAAAGGAAACCTGCTGAAACACCTGTATACATAATGTAATGATACTTGCACAAGTTGATGGAAGTACCTCCTACATGTTTGTTTTACAGTAGGTGAGGAAAAGGTGGTTTAGAAGTGATGGCTGAAACAGCTTCAGTGGCAGCAAATCTCTTTGGGTCACTGACAGACCTGCAAAATAAAAGCTGTGTCTTGCCCTGCAGGCTGTGTAGTGTGCTTGGGTGGACAGTCCCTGCCCTCCAGAGCTGAGCAAGCTTTTGGGTTTGTGTTGGGTGTTGCAATAATTGCGAGTGGTGCAGCTGCAGTTCAGGCTCCAGTGCTGGCTCTGGGACTCTCGGCTGCACTCACAGGAGCCCAGACCTGTAGGAGATCGGGGTGTGCAGAGCTGGGCACTGACAGGAGGTGCCTGAACTCTGTCAGGTACTTCTTGCACGTGGACTTAACGACCTGTGAGACAGAAATATTTAAGATGTCTAAAAATGTTAATTCAAAGTTCTCAAATGCTTTATGGTGTGCTTTGCCCCTACTCTCCCTCCAACTTAGATCCCTTCTATAAAGCAAATTTTGCTATCATTTAGCATTGAAAGACCTAAGTGGATGGTGTAGATCAGAACACTGGTTTATTATCCTGCCCTGTCAGCTGATACTATTGTCCCAAAATAATGGCATTTCTACTTCTGCTGGAAAGGGTCTGAGCTGGAATGGTGCTGAGGACCCCAACTTCCCATTCAAGTCTGAAAATAGAGCAGCTGCTTTTTTCCATGTGCCTCAGAATGTCCATTCTAAAATGCAAAAGCTTGGCTTAAATTGTTAATTAGTGTCTAAGAAATAACCTGAAGGACACCCCTCTGATGTGCACACGGTGAACAGAACACGGTGTGTGTTGTGAGAAGGGGGTTTTGCTCCGACAGTCTGGGACAGGGTTGGTTTTCTGATAGAGGGCAGCTTAGCCAAGCCTTTAGATTAGCATTGCTTGTCCTGTTGTAGCTGTTATGGATTAGTGTTTATCACATGATCAACAGTTGGTACCACATTTCTGTGGTTTACATTGTTCCAGACCTTTATTTTCAGAGCTCTTAGGAAGAAGGCATTTTCAAACTATCTGTGCATAATACCTTGGATTAATATTAGGTGATTGAAAGTGTAACACCCAAAATTTCGGTCTTTCACCTTAGCCAGAGGTGTGGTTTACAAAATAGTGAGTTATTTAACATGTTTTGCATAACTGATTCTGTGATCTAATGTATGCATCCGTTAAGGATGAATTTTTTGCTTGTTATTTTTGTATTTCTTGAATGAATAAAACAATTGTATCCTTGCTTCACTTGAAAATGTGTTTCACGATCCAAGCACACCACAGGGAGATCTGAGCCAGCCTGGACAAGCACTGTTTGCTTTTGTTGATGGGCATTTAGATCTATTGAAGCATTACTACTCTATTATTTCTGGCATGTGTATGTGTACACACAGACATTACCTCTACTTCCACGTACCTTAATGAGTATTTCTTTGTGCTGTAATGTAAGTATAACTGTTGATGAGTGTCAGATGTGTATTTCTCATAAAAGGGTGAAAGTCTCTCTGCTATGTATTTTTCCCTAGGAATTTTCTATCATTTACCTCTGTAAATAGGACTTGTAAAGGGGCTGATGGAGTTTGGGTGCTTTCCTCCTTGATGTTCCTTTGACAAATCCTAGTCTTTTTACCTTCTCTGCTCCCAGAACTCTCATGAATTTCTGTTATATATAGATGGGAGGGAATAGTAGTTTTTGAACTGATACCTCTTGTTTGTATGGTTCTCAGAGTGTTTTAATCATATCTATATTCCCCTTAAAAACATTTTGCTGGGAAAATGGGCAGTGGAAACACTGAAAGAACAAGGGCTATAAAGCTGCAGTTCAGTGCAGAAGAGACATTCTTCAGATTTTTCTGTTTCCTGTAGCTTTATATACTGAATAGTCTAAACAGCTAAAAAGATGGAACAGTTCAGGTCTAGGCTGTAGCAAAAGAAAAAACAACAGCCAGCATAAAAAATAAAATTCAGGTCCAGTTCTCTGTCCATGGTTTGGCCTTTGCCAGTAGGAATCCTAAACAGTATTTTTTAAAGTGTGTTCTCAGTGTGGTTAATCTTGGTGTAACTTGTATTTGCTCACAGTCTGTTTAGGCAAAGCTGCAGTGTTGCCTGTTGCTGTTACAGTAAATGCTGGGCTTACAGCTCGGGCTATTCTCAGATTGTCAGCCATCCAAGTAACCAAAGCTCCTTAACTTTGAAAACTGGATGTCAAGCCCAGGCAGACTAATAATGCCATCTGTCTGAGGCATCTGGATATTGACCCTCTTAGCATGATGTGTGCAGTTTCATTCCCAAATGCTTTCGCAAATGGAAAAGACACAGATCTGGAAAGAACAGCTCTTCCAAAAAAAAAAAAAAAGAAAAAAAAGAATTGGACTATGTTGAGCTATGTGCAATTTTGGTACATATTATATTCATCAAACTACTAAAAATATCTCTTTTCATGAGTAATGCAGTAAGGAATTGATGCCAATTTAGAAAGGGATTACGTTTCTGGCTGGAAATGTGTCAAGATGCACATTTGCTCACCACCATCAAAGTACAAATCGCTGATTAACATTGCAGAAAAATTCCTTAGAAGCAGAACGAGCTGAAAAATCTGAAAATACTTAATTTGTTCAAATGCTACTTTGTACCATGGAATTGCCAACTGGTTTGTCTCACAGAAGCCCCGCTCTCCTGGGAATGCTCGTTGAAGTGAAAGACAGGCAAAGCTACACATCTGAAAACATGCTGTTAGGCTGTAATCTAGTCAATATAAAAGATGAATATCATCTCAGTCTCTTCTGTCATTTCTGTAACTTTTGTGGCTTTCTATAGCTTTACAATGGATTTTTTCTATTCTGTAAGAAAATTTGCTTTCTACAAAAC